CCGCTTGGGGCGTCCAAGGCTGCTGGGTCGATCGAAGCTGCTGTCTCGCTGGGAGCTCCTCGGGCTGAAAGCCCGTTGTCTGTTCGAGTAGTGCTGTCGACTCCAGGGAAGGCGGGCGCGTGGCGACTCCTGTCGCCGCTTGTGGCCACATGCTCAGCAGCGCCCCCGAATATCATAAGTGCCGTCTCAGGTTCTCGAGCTGAAGGCTCTTCATTTCTGAGGTTGCTAGATGTACCTTGGCGCCTGGAGCTGAAGGCTCGCTCCACTGCGTCAAAAGTCGCTCCAAGGGTTGAAAGGCCCATCTTCTATGTTCAATTCGCAGCTGAAGGCTGCTTCACTCGGCGCAGAAGCATCCAGGAGGGGAAGTTCGGCGGAGTGAAGGCGCAAGCCCCTGCAAAGCGAGTCGGGACCAAGGGCGGGCGTCTGCCTGTCCCCTCTCCTGACGCCCTCGCGAACACCCCCTGGGGGGGCCAACGGTTCGCTATCCGATCCAGGGAAGCGGCTGAAGGTCGCAATGTGAGTGTGCATCGCGGGGTTGATAGCATCAACCCGCCCTCCCGCTCCCAAGGTCCCCCCTCCCCAACGCAACGGCCCAGCGGTTCGCTATCCGATCCAGGGAAGCGACTGAAGGTCGCAATGTCAGTGTGCATCGCGAGGTTGATCGCATCAACCCGCCCCCCCGCTTCCAAGGTATCCGATCCAGGGAGAGAGCGTGATTCACCGCATCTTTACTGTGGAAAATTGCCAACCTTTTCCTCCGGAGCCCGGGCCCCCCCCCCCCCCCCCTCCGAAAATCGCCCCCCCCCTGCTGCCCCTTCCCCCCCCCCCCCCTTCCCCCCCCTTCCCGGCCCCCCCCCCCCCCTCCCCTAACCTCTCCCCCCCCCCCATCCCCCTCGAAAACCGAGGGGGGCCACTACCGGTTCGAACCCCTACCCCCCCCCCCCCTCCGGATCCGGAAAACCGGGGGGGGTCACTACCGGTTGGAACCCCCCCCCCCCTCGAAAACCGGAGGGGGGTCACTACCGGTTCGACCCCCCCCCACGCACCGCCAGCAAACGACTCCCGGTCCCTACCACCGCTCGCATCACATCCCCCACTGTTGTTCCCAGCACCACTGTCCTCACCACCACTGTCCCCACTGGTTCCACCACCGTCCCTATTGTCCCCACCAATGCCCCCACCACTGTCGCACTGTCCCCACTGTTCCCACAACTGTTCCCACCACGGTTCCACTCTCCCCACTGTCTCCACGGACCCAACCACTGCCTATCCCCACTGCCCCCACTGTCCCACTGACTCCTCCGCTGTCCCACTGAGCTGTCCCACTGTTCCCGCCGCTGCCCCCACTGCCCCCGCCACTGTCCCCACTGTACCTCTGTCTCATTGTCCCACCGCCGTCCTCGCCACCGCCTTTACCAGTGTCCCCGCCACCATTGTACCCTCCACTGTCCCAGTGTTTCCACCTCATTCCCACTGTCCCCACACCACTGTCCCCACCACCACCGTTCCCACCACTGTCCACTGCCACCCCTGTTCCCACCATTGTACCCACCACTGCCCCCACCACTACCGTCCCCACCACTGTCCCACTGCCCCCCCACTGTCCCCACCACTGCCCCGCTGTCCCCTCACAGCTGCCCCCGCCAACACCGCCCCCGCCACTGTCCGCACCCCCACTCGGTTTTCGAGGGGGGGGGGGGGGTTCGAACCAGTAGTGACCCCCCCCCCCCCCCCCCTTTTCATGATGAGCTGTGTGTGGGGGGGGGGGGGGGGGGGGAGGGTTCGAACCGGTAGTGCCCCCCCCCCCCCCCGGTTTTCCGGAGGGGGGGGGGGGGGGGGTTCGAAGCGGTAGTGACCCCCCGGTTTTCCGCCAGCAGCGGTAGAACACACTCTTTCGATCCAGGGAAGCGATTGAAGGTCGCAATGCCGGTGTGCATCGCGGGGTTGATAGCATCAACCCGTCCTCCCGCTTCCAAGGTCCCCCCCCCAACGTGGGCGTCCCACTGCCTGCCGTCATCCGATCCAGGGTAGCGACGGAAGGTCGCAAGATCTGCGTGTATCGCAGGGATGAACGCAGCACCCCCTCCCCCAGGATCGCGCCTGCCGCTCCCAGGTCCAGGGGAGCGACCGAACGCTGCGTCGGCGTCGGAAGGCGCTCCAAGGACTGAAGGCCCATCTTCTATGGTCAGTGCGCAGCCGAAGGCTGCATCACTCGGCGCAGGCGCGTCCAGGAGGGGAGGCTCGGCGGAGTGAAGGCGCAAGCCTCTGCAAAGCGAGTCGGGACCAAGGGCGAGCGTCTGCCCGCCCCCCCTGCCGACGCCCTCGTGAGCGCCCCCCAGGGAGGGCCAGTTCCCTAGGCCCCCCCTCCAAGTCACAGTGGTCCCTGGGTCGAACGCCGAAGGCATCTCTCTGCCCCTCGTCAGTCTGCCTACGAGGACCTGGATCCGTGGGGGGGGGGTTGCTTGTTCAGGAGTGGGGTCCTCGCCCCCCGTGCTCCAGGTGTCGCCGAAGGCAATCCCAATCGGCCCAGCACCCCACGGAGAGAAAGAGATTGGGCGCCCAGCAGTGGGCGCGGGAGGGGTTGGGGTGAGAGAGGGGGATAAGCTAGGCGGGAGGGCATCATGCCTGCCGCTATCACATCCAGGGAAGCGAGTGAAGGTCGCAACGTCAGTGTTCGTACCGTCGACGCCCTCGCGACCACCCCCTGTGGGGGCCAGATCTCTGGTCCTCTCCTCCGCGCCGCTACGGTTCCTGGGTCGAACGCCGTGGCCATCCCTCTGCCTGCCGTCGTCCGATCCAGGGTAGCGACGGAAGGTCGCAAGATCTGTGTGTATCGCAGGGATGAACGCATCACCCCCTCCTCCAGTATCGCGCCTGCCGCTCTCAACTCCTTGGAAGCGACTGAGCGCCGCGTCGGCGTCGGAAGGCGCTCCAGCAACACTCCCACCTGTCACCGCAATGCTGTTGCCACGAGGGGAGCAATGGAGAATGAGGTGGTGGCCGACGGCCCCGGCGACTGGAAATGTGATAGCTTGAGCTCGTGTCGCCACAGGTTGAGCCCCAACCGCTCGAGCATCAACAGATAGCGCCCTCGAGGTACTGTTGTCAGGGGAGGAGCAATGGGAGGTGAGGTGGTGGCCGACAGCCCCGGCGACAGGCAATGTGATAGCTTGAGCTCGCGCCACACGCTGATTCTTTTCTCTGCCCTGCGGGGTGCTGTTGCTGCTGCTGCTGCTGCTATTGTGGTCGCTGGGGGCCTGCTGCAGTGGCTGCTGCGGCTGCTGCCCTGCGGCTGCTGCAGTAGCTGTTGGGTCCTGTTGCTGCTGCTACTGCTGCGGCTGGTGCTGCAGCTGCTGCTGCTGCTGCCCTGCTGCTGCGGCTGCTGCTGCTGCTGCCCAGCTGCTGCGGCTGCTGCGGCAGCGGCAGCCCTGTTGCTGCGGCTGCTGCTATGCAGGTGCGGCGGCCCGCCGAGGGCCGCGCCGAGGGCCGCGCCGAAAGCCGCGCCCTCCGCCGCCGCCGCCGCCGGAGGGGAGTCGGCGGCGGCAGCTGCGGCCGCGGAGGCCACTGCGGCCGCGGCCGCGGCGGCGGCAGCGGCGCCGGCGGCCGCGGCCGCGGCGCGCGCGGCCGCCGGCCCCCAGGCCGCGGCGCAGGCCACGGCGACCGCGGCGTCTGCCGAGCGGCCAGCCGCCGCGGCGGCGGCGGCCTCGGCCGCAGCCACGGCGGCGCCGGCGGCGCCAGCGGCGCCCGCGGTCCCGCAGGCGGCGGCGGCGCCTCTGGCAGCGGCGGCGCCGGCGGCGCCCGCGGCGCCGGCAGCGCCGGCGGCGCCGCCCGCGCCAGGCGCGCCAGCGGCCGCCGTGGCAGCCCGCGGCGCCAGCCCCGGGAGCGGCGCCGCGCGGCGGCAGGCGGCCGCGCGCCGCTGGCGGCGGCGGCGGGCCGCAGGCGACTCCGCAAGCCAAAGGGCCGCGCCGGCGGCGCGGGCAGGGGCGCCCAGGGGCATGGCCTGGCGGGCGGGGGGGAGGAGGGAGGGCCGACCTCCGTCCCCACCCCCGCGGACGGGAAAGCCGGGAGCCAGGGGCAAGCCCCCGGCCGCGACCGCGCAAGCCGGCTCGGCCATCTTGAGCCAGAGCGGCTTGATCCAGAGGCTACGGAGGCTGGTGGGGATACGCGAAGCGTCTAGAATTTCTGGGTTTCTGTCTTCCCCCCACCTTCCCACATCTTCCAATCTTTTCTCGGGATTCGACGATGAATTGTGTCTGTTGTTTCCCTCCTGAGAAACCCCCTCCCCAAGGCGGCGCTCGCCGAGGCGAGGTCGCCGTTTTGCTGCGCCGCTGCTCGGCGAGACAGCGTTTCCCAGCGTGCACATGAGCCTGCTGCCGCAGGCATGGTCTCGGCTTTGCAAAGTCACAGCCGCTCAGCCCTGGCCCCTTTTTGGGGGGAGGCGGTCCTCGGAGGTCAGAGCGTCAGAGGTTGCCAGCCACCAGTGTTGCCTTCTACCTGCGTCCAGCAACGGTTTCGCCGTGGCCCCTGCTGGTGAACAGAAACATCAAACGGTCGAAAGTTACACAAAAAACCTGGCTCTGCGGGATCCTGCAAGATCCTGACTACCTACCAAACCACCCCAACCCAACCCGAAGACCCGAATTTCGGGTCGGGGGGGGTACGGGTTCCATCTGTGTTTTCTCGAGTTCCCCCGACCCCCCCCAACTGGAAATGGAGGTCAAATCGAGACCTTCGGGTTGGGTTGGGGTGGTCTGGTGGGTGGTGAGACCCGGCGCTCCGTCTGACCCCCGTTTGCAGTGACCCCCGCCGCTGGAGCCCCGACCGCTGCTCCCCGGACCTCTCTCGGGGGGCCTTCCGAGCAGCAGCCCGACGCGAACCCAGCCGCGGCGAGGACGGAAGGGTAGGCGGATCGGTTCCTCCTCCGACTGCACTCCCGCCTCCCTCCTCCTCCCCCCTCCCTTTTTCCCCCATCCTCACAGCGCGCACGAGGCTCTCGCTGCCTCCAGACGCCCGCGGCGAAGCGGCCGCTCAGCTTGCTGTTGGCGAGCTCGTACTGCGGGTGCTGGGCGGGAGGCTCCGCGTCGAAGTCCTCCCCGGCGGGTGGCGCCAGTATGAGCAAACCCAGACAACCAGGCGCGGCGGAAAAAGCAGGAGGTGCGCGCATTTCTTGTCAAAGCCCAAGTACATGGAGGGCGAGACACCGGGGACCAGTGCCAAGACTGAACGCGGAAACGTGGTGCCGATCTTGGTCAGCGTCCATCCTGTTCAACGACAATTCGTGGATCATCCTCGCGAACCGGCGACGTCCAGCATAGACCACGACCACAATCGGCGTCGACAAGATCCCGCGATATTTTGGTCATGGTCATCCTGTCTCACTCCTCGAGTACAGGGGGCCTTCTTGATCGACGAGGACACCAGCGCACCAAATCAAAGCATTTGCCAATCTCCGTCTCCTCCAGCCACGCGCTCATCTTGCAAAATCCTGATTTGCGATATCTTCGTTTCCGGGGGTGGGCGTCGCGTCCATGTGCTTAGTACCTAGAGAAAACGAAAAAAACATGACACAACAATTTGATAACAAAAAAAACGTACCGACGCCGCGCGTCGCGCTTCGCGAAATGCTAAGCGCCACCATGATTATCTTGGCGTCCTCGCGGCGCCCTCGAGAAGCACGACACGACTGTGCAGTCGAGGCTGCTGAAGTCGCTTGGTGTGCCAGCATGGCGAGGCGGGGGCTTATCCATGCCCACCGCACAGATAAACGCTGTCATGGGACCCTAGGGAAGCCCCCCCCGCCCGCTCCCCCTCCTAATTTTTATCCCGCCCCTCGGAAGCTCCTCCTCCCCCCCGGGCCCCTCCAGGCCCTCCGCGCTCCGGAAGCCGCCCCCTCCCCCAATCCTATTATTACGTTGCCCGTTGCTCAGAGATTCCTCGGGTTCCTTGGGTTCCCCGCCCCTCCCGTGTCTCCTGTTGTTACGTTGACCGTTCCTCGGAGGTCCCTCGGTTCCCCGGGTTCCTCGGGTTCCCTGGGTTCCGCGGGTTCTCCGCACCCGGTTGCCCCAAGCAATGCCAAGCAACCGGTTGTCCCAAGCAATGCCAAGCAATGCAAAGCGATGCCAAGCAATGCCAAGCGATGCGTCCAACAATGCGCCCATGCAATAGGCTTTCCCCTAATTGGGGTCGCGCCGGGTTCAGTCTCCCTTATCACTACATACAAAAATGCGGGCCACCCGCAGGAGCGGAAGCAGTGGAGCAGCGGAGCGGAAGCAAGCAGCAGAAGGAGTGAGGAGCAAGACGAGGGAGGACGGGGGGCGATGTTGAGTGAGGATCCCTGCTTTTCAAGCTTCGGCGCCTGATCAGAGCAGACGCGCTTCGCTCCCAGACGGCTGCGGCCACATCAGGCTGGGTGTGAAGCGGTGCTTGACTTGGTCTGGTCATGCAGACTCAAGCGATGGCTAAGAGGGACAAACAGTGCCCCCCCCCCCCACCCACTCCTTCTTACTCTCTCTCTCGCAGCCTGTGAGACAGAAGGGATAGGATAGAGGCACAACTCAACTGCAGAAATGTATTATTTCTGTTGCAGGTCCGCGCGGACCTTCGAGAGACGACGTGTATGCGGGTGTTTGTTCTTCGAGGGAGAAATCCAGGATTGGGCTGAAGGGGCAATCACAAAAATGACGAAACCCCAAAGAACATGTGACCGAACTCCCGCTGCAAAATGTCCACGAAAACTGAACCGTCAAAATCCAGGTCGGGCTCGTCAAAAAGCATAGGCGGACCCGAGTTCTGGCGCACTCGAGGCTTACGCTTCCCCGAAATATCCATGGCCCACGTACGTGCCCGCGCCTGCCGCGAGCGAACAGAAACCCCCTTTAGCAAAGCACCCCTCCGGCAAACCGACCCGCGGCCTGGCGGGCGCAGGCAAGCCCGCAGAACTGCTGCCGCACCCCCCCCTGGAGAAAGGAAAAGGGTCGACTCGATGATCGACTTGGCCCGCCCACTCCCCCTCCGCTCCCCCTCCTTCCCCTCTACCCTGCTCATCCTCCTCCTCCCGCTCCTTCATCTCCCCCTCTACTTCTCTACCCCTCCCCCCCGCCCCCATCCTCATCCTCCCCTCTCCACCTCCTCTCCTCTCCCCCACCCCTCCTCCCCTCTCCACCTCCTACCCCTCCTCTCCCCCTCCTCTGCCCCTTGCCAATGCTGCTCGATGCCTCGGCTGGGGACGCACGAGGGGCTACTAAGGGAGTGGGATGCCACACCCGACGAGCACCCCAGCCGAGCCCCCAGTGGAGTGAGCAGCGGGGCGACAGTGGCAAGGGGCCAGCAAGTGTGCTGGTCTCCAGGACACTGCCCGGGGGCAAACCCGGCGGTCCTGATGTCATTCCACACCTGCACACCTGAGGTGCCGACCTCCAGGACACAGCCCGGCGGCAACGCTGGGGGTCCTGTTTACCCTCCACACTTGCGCGCAACAGTGACCCACATTCAACTCACAACCCGGTGACTAGGTGGGCGGGCCTGAACATATCTCCCAGTATCGAGGCATCGACCTCTAGGACACAAACCGGCGGCAATGCCAGCGTTCCTGTGCTCTCTCTCGCACACTGATCCCCAGGATTCAGCCCAGCGACTCTGACGGCGGTCCTGTCTCCATGCCACACTCGCACACCTGAAGCACTGACCTCCAGAACACAGCCAGGCGGACATGTCCGCGGTCCTGCCTCCACTCGCCCAGAAGAAGGTACGGCCCAGCTGCGCAGCCCACTGTGCCTCCGCGAGGCTCGGTGGTGAGGCGGTAGCCAGGATGCCCAAGCCCTGTCGATCAACAGGAGCTGGCATCCGTATAATCTGTAATTTGTTATCAAATAATGTAGGCACTGCCTCACTAGGGCCCGGAAATGCATTACGATACGAAAGCTCGGGTCTGGTTGCATTATCTACAGTCGTGTCACGATGCACCGCAGAGCAAGCACACCAGGGGATTTATTAATCCAGGGCGCGCCGCACACCAAAGGATGGTACTAACCCAGGGCGCGAGTGCGCGCTGCAAACCAGAGGCTTTTGTTCCGTCGGGCCACCGTGCCCTCCAGGGTAGTGGCACTGGGGAACTGGGCCCACTGATTAGGGTAAGGCGCCCCAAAGCCACATTACCTCAAGTCCTCTCCCCTCGCCCTGAAGGATCTGCGACGCGCGGAGGGGGTCAGTGTGAGGGTGCGGCTGGAAAGACAAAAAGGAGCATGACCACAAGTGACGACGGGAACGTCGGTGTCGATTGGTCATCACCCGTCTTGGTCAGGGTCAAGTCGTGGGTCAATCCTCGCGAACCCGCGACGGCAGGCATGGATCATGACCAAGATCGTCGGCATCGGCAAAATTCCGCAACATCTGACCCGCAACCACAGGATAATAAAGCGCTCCCCTGCCTTTCCACCTTGTATCTCTTTATCCACAGGATTGAATGTGTTTCAATTGACACAGCAGGCAGGGAGGCCGAACTTGTTCCCACAAAAGATCCTATCGCAGCTCTGATTGTCAGGATGTCTCAGGCGAAACGCGATCCAGGCATCCTCACATCGATACCTCCAGGAAAAAGTTGATTCTCCCGCCTGGACCCCGAAGTTTCTAATCCCCAGGGGGTTTTCATCACCAGCATGCGCTTAATCATGGCCATCGTGTCTCTTCCCTCGAGGGCGGGGCCTCTCTCTCGACCTCCGCGCACCGTGCGGCCTGCGCTGCTGGCTCCCCCGGACCGTGCACGCGCAAGGCGCCGCCGCCGCAAGACGATCGCGGACGCGCAGGCCGCAGCCAGCCTGCAGGTCGTTTTCTGGCCTCGGCGGCACTGCGCGCTCACACCACCTGCTGCCAGGGTGGCCGACACTGCGCAGCAGCCAACACCCCAGGATCCGGGCGTGGCAATTATTCCTCACATCGGGCGCGCTCGCCTGGCGTCGGGCCCCGGGGCCATCACAGATCGAGACGGCTCGGAACATGCCGCGGAAAGATGGGCTAGAGAGCTCCTGTCGTGATGGTTTGCGATGTTGCAGTTTTTCGCAACGTCGGATGCCAAGGCATGTCCATGGCGCCCGACCTCTGTCGGCAGAGGTGCTTCCGCCACCCACCTGTTGCCAGGCTGTCTGCCTGGGCGTGCAATTGGGAACCGGCGCTGAGCCCGTCCGCACAAGAGCCATGGCCACAGCGGGCCGCTTCGTTCAAGTTGCGATGGTGCCGCTCATGCTTACGTGTAGCCGACCTCTCTTTTGTTTTGCTTTCGGCTATCGGGCCATAACTAGGGTCTCCAGCGGCTTTTCGGGACGCTTCGGGCAACCCCGAAATTCTCGGCGAGGCGAGCTGCTGGAAAACGTCCCGAGGCATGGCAACCTGTAGGAACCTCCAAGAATACCCGGAAACATCACGAGGAGTGGGCTAACAGCGTGTGGCATGGGACACTCGTCGCCATCGTGTCCGCTGCAGGCTGCAAATCGCAGGTTCGGGCCCCGGACTGCCCCTCGCCTGGGGGCTCCGGCGGACTGCTGCCCCAAAGGGCCCCCGCTGCGCTGCCTGCGCCTCAAGAGGCCTGCCGCGAGGCCTCGGGGAGGCCTCGGGGAAGCCGAGGCGCCTCGCTCGCCGAGGCGCCTCGGAAGAGACGGAGACAGAACTGCTCCGCCCGGCCTCTCCCGCACATCCTGCAGACAGGAGAGAAGGGTCCCTGTCCAGCGCCACGCCCTCGAGGGGAGAAGACGAGGGCAGGAGAAGAGCCCACACAGGTGCGATGGGATGCGTCTGCCCCGCGCGTCTGCGCGTCTGCGCGCCTCCGCGCCGGCCATGCTGTTGAGGATGTGGCGCCTGTCGGACTCCACCGAAGCCTGCGGCCCCCCCAGGAAGGAGGACCCCAAGGAGACAGAAAACGTGAACCCCTCTCTCTCTCTCTGTCGTCCTTACACTTGTCCTCCTCGTCCTCCACTTCGCCCTCGTCCTTGCCACGGTTCTCCCAAGACCCCCCTCCCAGTGCGAGGATGTGGTCCTTGCAGAATGCGAGGAGGAGGAGGAGGAGGAGAAGGAGGAGGAGGAGGAAACAGCTGCGTGTTAGACCATGGGCCTCTTGTTGCCCGTCGCTCCTGGGCTGTCTTCGGCGATCTTCAGCGGTCTTCAGACGGCATGCGGCGGTCTTCTGACGGTCTTCGGCAGTGTCAGGCGGTCTTTGGCGTCTTCCAGCGGTCTTCGGGGTGAGAGCTGGATGGTTGCGTTCAACAGGGGGTCCTTATCGAACACGTACGAACAAGGAGCCCACAAAGGACGTACGCGCCAAATCCCTTGCTTGAACACGGCCCCCCAGTCCGCGAGACGGGCCGTGCGATACGAACGTTCGCGCAGTGCGTACTCTCGAAACCAGCGTGGATTCATGTACTTGTGCATCCTTCTGTGCTCCAGAAACAAGGGGTCCATGATCGAACACCTGGGAACAGGAGTGGGGAGGGGGAAGGATTCCGCCAGGGCCAGCAGGGTTGCGGCACCCAGAGGGCAGCAGCGGGGGCCCGTCGGGCGCTCCAAGAGGTGGCTCGGAGGCACTTCCGACACCGCGCCTGACGCGACAGAGAAGGGAAGAATTGGGTGCGTCCGGGAGGGGGTCGTCCCAGAGGGGGGGGCGCACATCATGGCCGGCGGCACGTGCTCGGCCCAGGCGGTGGTGGCCAGGAACGTATTGAAATAAGAGGCACCTGGAATATGGGGAGATACCATGGCCCCCGCCAGGAGATCCACACCCCGCCTTGTCATCACCTCTCTTTGCCGTCCCCGAGAGAAATCGCAGGGTGGAGGGGGTCAGGGCCGGCAGGGAAAGGGCTGGCCTGGGCGTCCTGCAGCTGCATGCTCAGGGCCTTGTCGGCGTACTTGAGTGGAAAGGCACCTCAAGTTCCGCCCCGCTCGCGAAGAGCTGGGCGCCCACTGCCTGGCTCCAGGGCGAGAGCTGAACGGTGTTTTGGCGATCTTGTGGACAGTTTTCGTGCTGATTTCGCTTTGCAACAGTTGCGTAACGAAGACAGAACGAAGGAGAACAATAACAACACGAAGTCGGAAAACACCGTTTGGCTCAAGCCCTGCCTGGCCCAGCCATCCCTCCCCAGCAGACCTCCATGCGCCCTTCGAGGATCGAGGAGCCAGGGCCCAAAACTCGAGGTTCGAGCCTAGAGGGATGATAATCGAGGGTCCCAGAACCACTCGCGTCGTGAACAAAAAACACGCGAGGTTCTTGGCGATGTCCAGCTTCTTGGGCCCTCACTGGGCCCCTGGACTGTCGAGAAACTACGCAGTATGAAAGCATAATCCCTGGTAAGGGTCCCAAGGGTCCACGTCGTGAAAAAACATGACGTCGGGGCTCTGGGTTCGATGATCCTAAGGAAGCGCGCTGGCGCCGACGTGAATTGTCCAGAGAAGCCATCCAACACGACGCAGCCGGCGACATGAGGGCCGAATCGGGCTACGTGCTGCTGGCAGAGCTGGACGCTGCAATCGCACAGTGGGCGAACACACTTTCCTTCGAGCGTCCCACCCTCCATGGGGAAAATGGCAGTCGTACCAAATCGGTCGGGAATCAGAGGCCCGGCCAACCTCTGCCGACGCCGCCATCCCGTGCCAAGCAGGCGCCGGAACCCACTCGGCCGCATTGGGCTAACACACGCCCTGGAGAATCGTCGAGAATTTCCTCAGCGTGTTCTGAACCTCTGGAGGCCTCGGGGGGCCTCCAGAGAACCCCGAGGACGACGCGACCAACCGCTGCCCCACCCAGAACTCAGGCCGTCGCGAGCAGAAGCACGGCTTGGGCGCGAAATAATGGGCGGGCGATAGGTGGGGAGAGGAGAGGAGTGCCGTTGTCGGGCCTTGAAAGTTTTTCTGGGCCCGAAAGGGCCCCTCTAGGGGTCCTAGCAGGCGCCCCTTCGACATCCTCGGTGGCAACTCATGGGAGCCTCCCATACCATCTTGTCGGCTCTTGCGAATCGACGCTAATCGGCGCTAAATTGATGCCAATCGACGCTAGATCGACGCTCATCGACGATAGCCGACGCTAAATCGGCGCTATCCCATCTACTCCAGACGCTAATCGACGACGCTAGTCGACGCTAAAGACGGAATGAAGAGGGTCTACCAGGCTCCCATGATTTGCCACCGAAGACAGCCCTCGCTGCCCCCCCAGGTATCGCCCCCCATCACGCGCCCTCCAATGGTGCAAACGGCGCGCGTCTCCGAACTCGGGCTCGGCCCCTGGCCGGTCAAGGAGCGCTCCGCGGTGGGGCGCCAGGCCCCGGAGGTGTGGACGCGGGCTCCGTGGCCCACGCCATGGGGACGTGGCGACGGGCACGACGGGTACAGTTCCCGGAGAGCTCTCGAGCTAAGAGGGTTTCATATCAGAAGCAGGCAGCGCAGGGTGGCCCCGCAGCTCTTTCCGGCGCCAGTCAAGGAGCTTCGCAGCGGCCTGCTTGACCCTCCAGCAGCAGCAGGCCCTTCAGGCGTTTTCCTACTTGTTCCCAATATACGACGGGCACGAAGGGTACAGTCGGCACCACGCTTGAAATTGAGGATGAAGGCTCCCCAACGCTTGCCATCGCTCGGACGTCCGTTCCTCGTGCATCGTTCGGCCTCGTGCGTGCATTTGTTCGCCAGATGACCCTAAAGGATCCTCGATGGTCCTCGCTGGGGAAAAATGCTCACGCCCGAGCGCTGCCAAGTGTTGGGAGAATGTACCATCGTAGGTGCCCCCGGGACTAACTACCCTGAGAAGAGATCTGTGGGCGGCCAGAAGTTCGAAGCCAGTCGGGGGTGCGGCCTCAAATCCGCCGCTGGTCAACGTCTCATAACCTCGCGCGCTGCGTCCCTCGGTACGTGCCGCGCCGAGGCCCATCGGTTGGAGAATGGGGTGGGAGGAAGCGGAGGAGGGGACGATAAGGAGTCCTGACACCCCTGTAAGGTTACCAGGGGAGGAGATCCCTGAGGCCGCGGCTGGATTTGTTGTGCCTCTCGATCCCTTTTTCGAATTTCAACAGCAGCACGACTGCGCCCTTGGAGGCGCGGTCGCCCCTGCCGCCCCATGTTCTCCGTGCGCAGCAGCAGAAGGGTAGAATCCGTGCCATCCGTGAGGCAGTGCGCAGCAGCAGAAGGGTAGAGGCAGAAGCGGCTGTTGTACTCGACACCAGCGGCCCAAGCGGTACGATGCCTCCGCTCGTCACGCAGCGCCTCGCAGCGCAGCCAGTGGCCTTCCAGGAGGCACGGAGCGCGCGGCCCTCTGCCGCGACCACCGAAGGCGCTGCACGCGCGCGGGCCGCGGGAGCGGGGCGGGAGACCCGCCTCCAGCTCCGCACGGCCCGTCGGAAGCGGAGGGCGGAGGCGGCTGGCGCGGGGCGCCCGCGCGGCGCAGCGCCCTCCGGTGCCGGCCGGGCGGGGAAGCGGGGGCGCTCCGAGGGGGAGGCTTTCGCGCTGGCACTTCCAGTAGTCGGCGCCATCCTGGCGCGCCGGCGGGGAGGAGCTGGGCCAGGGGGGGCTCGCACTAGGGGGGGGGGGGGGGGGGGGGGGATAGGTGTGGGAGGAGCGGGAGAGTGGCTGGGCCCGGGGGCCTGCGCAGCATGGAGTGGAAAGGCGGAGGGAGAGGAGGAGCGGGAGCGGGCGGGGCGGGGAGCGGGGGGGGAGGAAGGGGAAGGGGAAGGGGGAGGGAATGCAAGAAAGAGGAGGAGAGGGTGGACGCGGAGGAGGGCGAGGACGCGGGCAGGGACGGCGGCGAGGACGGCGGGGAAGAGCACGCTAGGATTCTATTGAGGACGAGCGTGCTGGCACGCGCCAGGGCGGTGAAACGCAGGCGCCAGCCCGCCGTGCGCCCTCCTCCCAATGTTCCCCCCGCCTCCCTCCAGCACTACGCTTTGGCGGGAGACCCGCGTTGGGGTGGAGCAGAGCGAGCAGGCACTTCGGAAAAGGGGAAGCATACCGCTGGTGTCCCCAGGATGCGCACGACGAGGTGCCCGGATCCACTCATGAAAGCGCCCCGTGAGCCATCGAGGCAACGCCAGCAGCACGGCTGCGAGGCACGATCAGTCAGCCAGGACATGCCTTGGTGTCGGCCTCTGGACAGATATGCCCCTGAGCACCACGAGGGAAAAAGGGTCCGCGGACCTCGCCTCCAAGGGAGGCGCGGATTCAACAAATTAGAGCGTCGAAGGCATGACCTCAATCGAGGGTTGCCGAAGGTGCCTCTGGCCCAAGGTGCCCCAAGCTTTTCGCTCAATCTTGGAGCTCCTGGGGCTCTCTGGGCCTCGTGAGGGGTGCTCTGGAGGACGTGGGGGCCTCCTTGGAAATCCTGACAGCACCCTGGTACAGGGGCACCTCTAGCAACACCCGAGTTGTGGATTTTCACCACGCGGGTCACCGGAGCCTTCGACGCCATCGCCGGGCCCAGCCTTGCGCCGCGGGCCGCCGATTGACCGCCCAGGGGCTCGAGGCAGGGGTCCCTCCCAGGAGGCCGATGCCGCCGAGAGATTGGCCGTCGCGCCACCTCTTCCTCCACGCCCTGAGCGCGAGGCAGAAATCTACACGCCCACCGCAAGGGAAATCTACGTTTCAAGACCCCAGGGGGCGATGGACTCAAACCTCCTCTCGCTGGAAAGCCGGCTTCTGGGGGGCCCCAATGGGCCCGAGGACCGTCAAAAAGGCGACGCGGGATGAGAAATGTCTGCGACCTGGGGAGAAGGTCCAGACCTGGGGAGAAGGTCCAGACCTGGGGGGGGGGAGGAACCAACGTCTCACTCGATCGGTCTCACTGTCGATCTCACTATCGATCCCACTATCGGTCTCGCTCGATCGATCTCACTCGATCGATCTCCCAATCGATCTCACTCGATCTATTTCAATCGATCGATCTCTCAATCGATCTGACTATCGATCTCACAATCGATCTCACTATCGATCTCACTATCGATCTCACAATCGATCTCACATTCGGTCTCACAATCGATCTCACATTCTATATCACAATCGATCTCACAATCAACGTCATCATCATCATCATCATAATCATCATCATCATCGTCGTCATCATCATCATCAACATCATCATCGTCATCAACGTCATCAACATCATCATCATCAACATCATCATCGGACCTCCATCATCATCATCAGCATCATCATCACATAGTCACCATCAACATCATCATCACCATCCTCATCATCACCAGGACACCATCATCGTCACCATCATCATCATCAACATCATCATCGGGACACCATCATCATCAGCAGCATCGGAACACTACCATCATCATCATCATCATCATCATCATCATCATCATCATCATCATCATCTCATCATCATCAGCATGAACAACATCATCAACATCATCATCATAGGGACACCATCATCATCAGCACCATCATCATCAACATCATCATCATCGGGACACCATCATGATCGTCACCATCATCATTATCATCACCACCATCATCATCATCGTCACCGGAACACCATCATGATCATGAACATCAGCATCATTATCATCATCGGGGCACCATCACCACAATCATCATCATCATCATCATCCTCATCATCAACATCATCATCACGGGGGGCACCATCATCGTCATCATCATCATCATCATCATCATCATCATCATCATCATCATCATCATGGGGACACCATCCTCGTCATCATCACCATCATCATCAGCAGCATAAGCATCAATATCATCATCACCATCATGATCGGAACGCCATCATCATCATCATCATCATCATCATCATCAGCAACATCAGCATCATCAGCATCATCATCGGGATACCATCATCATCACCACCATGGCCATCATCACCACCATCATCATCATCAAGATCGTCAACATCGTCATCATCATCATCATCATCATCATCATCATCATCATCATCATCGGGGCACCATTATCATCAACAACATCACCATCAGCATCATCACCATCATCACCATCAACATCATCGACATCATCATCAACATCATCATCATCACGATCATCATCACCATCATCACCATGATCATGATCATCCTCATCATCATCCTAATCCTCATCCTCATCCTCATCCTCATCCTCATCCTCCTCCTCCTCCTCCTCCTATTCCTCCTCCTCCTCCTCATCATCATCATCAGCATCAGCATCATGATCATGATCATGATCATGATCCTCATCCTCATCCTCATCCTCATCCTCATCCTCATCCTCATCCTCATCCTCATCCTCATCCTCATCCTCATCCTCATCCTCATCCTCATCCTCATCCTCATCCTCATCCTCATCCTCATCCTCATCCTCATCATCCTCATCCTCATCCTCATCCTCATCATCATCATCATCATCATCATCATCATCGGGACACCGACGGGACACCGGCGGGACACCGGCGGGACACCGCGCGCCACCGGCCCCGGGAGAGGACACATTTGGTCCAGCCGCGCCTCAGCCGGAGGAGACTTTCTGCTCGCCCGCCCACGCAGCTTCGCCTCGCCCGCACGCACGGCACGCACGAACACGAAGCCGAAACCGATTTCCCGGTATGGGGGGCTCTCCGTTCCACTTCGATCTCACCCCCTCACCTCCGATTCTCTCTTGAGGCCGAAATCTACTTCCGCCGGCTCCCGCCAGCCTTCCGCTGGCGGAGGCGGCATCGTTTTACTCGGTTTTGCTGCCGCCGCCTTCCGGATCCTTGAGCGCGAGGCCATTTCTGGAGCGCCTCACGTGGTGCGCCAAAGTACACGTCGTTCATGTATAATCGTGTTAGTTTCTAGTTGTGCTCGTTTCGAAGTGTTACTGGCCCCCTAGTGGCCAGGAAGAGGCCCAGGAAAGAACATGTAGAAATGGAATAATCTTGGCTCCCCCAAAAGATCAAAGAACTTTCGAATACTTGGAAATGAACAATGTGTACACCCCCCATGTGATGCCCCCAAATGTAGCCCCCATGCGAGGCCCCCGTGTGCTGCCCCCCGCCCCCACGTGTAGCCCCCACATTCCAGCCCCTCGAGGCCGGCCCCTCCCGTCCAGCCACGCGCGCGCGCTGGGAGAGAGCAAGACCGCCTGGGCCTCCCCACTCGGAGGGCCATACGGAAGAGGGAACACTTAGTGGACCCTCCCCCCTCCCCCTCCCAAAAGTTCAAGATTGGCGCGCGCGCGCGGGGGAGACTGTGGTCAAAGTGCAGCTCATTCAACCCACCGCCAAAACTGATCGGCGGGGGGGGGCCCTTGACAGATGAATGTGGCATGAGTGTTCGCTAATTTCCTCCGAGGCCTCTGTCCACCGCCTGGGCTTCTCACGCATTCGGCTGGCTCCAGAACGCGACAGCGCGAAGCTGCCCTATAAGTGGACACCTGCACCCGGCAAGAGAACTGAGTCAAAGCATCCCGGCTCTTCTGCTGCAAGCGGCGCCGCTTGCTGAAGGCTGCAGGGCACCCCACCGCCTCTCGAGGCCCCGGGAGACCGGCTCGGCCCAGCAGGCGGTGGGTCTGCACAAACCCCAGCCGCAGACTGACGCCCTCGGACGGGGAGGAGAGGCGGGCAGGCGCCGCCGGCGCCGGGGGCGGCAGCGACCCCGCCGCGGCGACCCGGGGATCGGACGTCTGGATTCTTCACCACAGCCATCGTGCTACGACGAGGGGTGCTGGATAAGGAAGAAAGGGGCTGCTCTGGCCACGGCGAGCCTCGGCTTCGAGGAGGCCCCCCGACCCAGAAGCGAAAGACGGCCCAGGAACATAGAGCCCATTCTGAGGCCAAACTTGTTATTACTTCAGCGTCTTGACTGCACGGGGTCCACAGAAATCCCGACTATCTCCTCATGGACTGGCTTCTCATTCCGAGCCGTTTCCCCCAATTGAAGCTTTTCCTGAAGGGTTACATACTATCGTACGTGTTTGAGAGAGAAGTGTAGGGTGCGGCGCCGAAATTCTGAGGCAGCGCTCGGCGTTGTCCAGATGTCTTAGTCTTCGGTCCTTGCATGAGGGGCAACGGAAGAGGGGGACTGGAACAGGGGGGGATGCATCGACCTGGAATTGGCGATACATCGCCGATAGATCGACAAACTTAGGCCCCCGATAGCGAATCCAGACCTTCCTGGGCAGGTTGGGGCAATCGGGCCCTTCTCAGGGCGATCAATGGGCGATTGATGGTCGATGCATCCCCCCCGCCTATGCCTATCCCCCCTATCGTTGCACCTGATTGCATTGGCGGCGCATGGCGTTGCCCTAGTTCGTTGGCTTGGCTTCCCTCCTGCCTTCCTGGGAAATCCTCCCGGTTCCTCGGCCTCCGGCGTTGCTCGAGGATTTGTCGAGGTTCCACGGCGTTGCTCGCCACGCAATGCGAAGCAATGCCAAGCAACGACTCCAAGAAATACCAAACAACGCCATGCAATCCCAAGCAATGCAAAGAGAAAGCAGAAATGCCAAGCAGTAGCACGCAATGACAAGCAATGTAAAGCAATGCCAAGCACGCCAAGTGATGCCAAACAATGACAAGCAATGCCAAGCAGCACCAAACAGTGCTAAGGACTGCCAAACAACACCAAGCAACGATTCCAAGCGATGCCAAGCAATCTCAAGCAACGCAAACCAGCGCATGCAAAAACTAGAAAACAATACCAAGCAACGCCAAGCAACGCCAGGCGATGCCAAGGACTGCCAAGAAATTGTTTGCATTGTATTGCCTTGAACTGCCCAGAACTGCTTGGACTTCCGAAGCAAGACCGCGACGGGGTCATGTTGACGATTCCCCGGCCCAGAAAAGGCCCACGGAGACCGAAAGCTGGCAACACACGTCCGTGGTGGTTTTGGTTTGCAAATTCTGGGTCGAACGTCATCGCAATTCCCCGTGCTCTTAATTTGCTCAACGCGTGTTGATTGTTTCAATACGTTGGATGTCTGTGGAGACCCGCGCGCCCGTGCGCGAGGGGAGACGCTCCACGACGAATGCTGGCCAGCACTCCGCGCTGCGGAAACATCCTTTCTTACGTCGCGTCGCGGCAGCAGCAGTCCGCACGCGCGATCGGGCAAGCTTGGTGACTGCATTGCGAATTGCCCCGATGCAAGAGGGGAAGGAGGAGGAGGAAGAGAGGCGCGGCCGCGGGAGGAGGAGAAGAAACTAATGCGCTCACGCGGCGGGGACCGTAGCGGGGAGCGCCCGAGGCTGGAAACACACACGGATGGATCTGTGCGTCAGCCGGAGGCTACCTGCTCAACGCACGTGCGGAAGACCGCCTGGTTCTGCTATGCAAGGGCCAAGCGCTGGGAAGGCACTCGGCCACCGTGTGCGTCTGGCTCTCGTGCAGGCAGGCCGCGTCATGTATGTCCAGCTTCCTGTCGATGCGGCGAGGAGGCCAAGAGTAGTGCAAGCTCCGCTTGACAATCACATCCATGGTCCCAAAACCGTGCGGTGACAGACCGTGCGGTGACCTCGAAATCCCACGAGACCGCACCGCACGGTCTGTCACAGCACGGTTATGTACCTTGGAGGCCCCAATCGCCCAAGACACCCACGGAGAACGACCCGAGTCTGGAGACAGTGCGATCAAGCCGAATCCCCACCTACTCGCCACACGGTATGGTCACCACCCTCCACACCGCCTGGGGGCCGCCGATATCCTTCGGGTCCCGTCCCTCAGGGCCCCATCTTTGGAGCCCTCCCACACGGGGCCAGAGTGGATGGGGTCGGAGGATAGCGCCGCATCGCCGATGCATCGGCGATGTCGTGGTGGAGAAACTCGAACCGATCATCGAGCCGCATCACAAATGCATCTGCGATGCGGCGCGATCTTCAGACCCCGTGCACGCAGTGCACTCCAGCCACATCTTGGACCGTCCTATTCTCAGTGAAGAGCGGCGACCATATCCAAATTCACGCCCTCGCGGACTGGATTCCGAGTGGCGCGACACCGTGGATACACGGTCGCATGAATACGTTCTGTACGCGGCATCCGCATACAGCGCAACGCATGCATGGGGTGGCGGCTCAAGAGGCCTGGCCCGCGAGGCCGCAGATACGGATACGTTTTCAGCCCACGACTCACGGTGCGGAACTGTTACTCGTGGCGGGCCAGACCTGGCGGCGAGGCACGACAATGGAAGAACAAAACATGCAAAACATGAACTTAAAAGCTCTGGAGAACATACCTTTAAGCAGGGTGGTGACGGCCGACGCAGATCCACGACATCGACGCGGAGCTCGGACAATGTATGGTTATTGCAGCTCTCACTTTTGCGCGCTCAGAAGACATTCTCGACCGTAGACGTCTTCTCGTGGGCGAAAAACAAATCCGTATCCGTGGCCTCGAGCCCCTGGGCCGCCATCACATGGATGCGGGGCGTTATGTTTTCGGATGCCGCCCGCGAAACGTATCCGTGCGACATCCTATCCGCCACATCGCGCGCTCGAATCCAAGCCGCGAGGGCGCGGGCACGGATGTGTTCGCCGCTCGTGCTCTTCGAACCCCCGGTAAACGTCACCCCGCCGCCTCGGGCCACGCGAGCGGGCGTGCCACGCGGAGGCCCTCTCGTGGCCCTGCGCTCCACTGGCGGCGGGTCGCGGTGGCGGTCCAGCCCGCTCGCGCCCCGACGACGCAGCCGCAGCCGATGCTCCTCGTGCGGCCCTCTGTAGGCCAAGGGGCGGGGAAAGGGCGGCCTCGGGATGAGAAACGTCGGCCCTGGGGAGGGGGGTGAGAAGTCAGGGGGTCTGGTGGGGGGGGGGGGGCAGGCATTTGAAAAATCCGAGCTATGGATGTCTTGGCCTGGACCCTTGTCCTGGACACCACTGCCTCGCAGCCCCGTCCTCGTCGAAGCCGAAAGCGACAAGGACCGACAGGCCGCAAGCAGCCAAGTAGAAGGGCGCAACGACGCAGCAACGGCACGACAACCGAACGGACCGAGCCGACCGAACGCAACCGACTGCGACGCGGCCCAACCGGCCCAACAGCAGACACCCTTGGTGATCCCCGCCGTCTGGCTTTCGGATCATAACTTGGGTCTGGTGCGGCCGTTCGGGACGATGCTGATATCCCACGCACGCTCCCGGTGAGTCGCAGCTGCAGGAGAGCATACCGGGGCTGGAAAATCGCCGAGGGCCCGACTGGCACGTCCGAGAACCGACGGAAACGACCGACGACGGTCATCCTCCCCTCCCTCTGGACGACGATAACAAGGGGAAGAAGAAGAAGAAGAAACTAACATAAGGAATACGCGTAAAATTTCGGAGGTCGGCGCGGATATCTTGGATCGGCACTGACTAGCGCGCGGAACGCGCCAGGGGCGACGCTGGATGCGCCGCCAGGGGGACTCAGCGTTGACCCAAGAAATCCGCGTGGATATCCGAAAACTGTTATGCTTATGCTGTGCTATCGTCTTCTTCGAGACGACGACGACGACGACGACCACCACCACCACCACCACCATCACCACCACCACCACCCCGCCAGGTCCTCGCCGTTCTTCAGGTCTGCCGCGACGATCCCGTCTGTGATGCCGACCGCCCGCCTCCCTGGCCGTCCGCGACAAGCCCGCGGGGCCCCCCTCCTGGCAGCGCGCCAGAGTGGTACGGTCACCGTGTATAGCAAGGATGCGCGATAAGGATGCCACGGGCCTTGGGCGCCCGTCTCGAAGCTTTCCGACCGCGGCGCGGCGAAGGAAAGTGGTTAAGGATGGGCCGAGGAGGTGAGGAGGCAAGGATGCAAGGAGACCCCTGGGAAGGTTGATGGGCTTGTTTTCCAACATCACCACCACCATAAGTTGGAGGGGGAGGGGATCCTCCTCCTCCTCTTCCTCTTCCTCATCCTCCTCATCCTTCCCCCTTCCAACTTATGGTGGTGGTGGTGAAACAACAGGCCCATGAAAGTTTGCCCATCCTTCCTGTTCGGGTTGACCGTGCTGAGCCTTCTGAGGAGGCCCGCCCCCCTGCCTTAACTTCCCCCCCGGGGCGCGCCGCCGCCAACAGGCACACCGAACGAGGCATGGGGCGGCTCTCCCGGCCACGGCGAGCCTCGGCCACGAGCAGGCCTCCCCTGGCCCAGGCCCGAGGATCGGCCCAGACACCAGAGCCTCCCCCCCTCCCACCCTCTGGGCCCGTCTTTGGGTATCGGCTCGAGGCCGGAAGACCGGCAGATCGGCCAGCGCGAGCTCCCGAGGCGCGCGAGCCCCGGCTCGGCACACCGACCGAGCAGAGGCGACTGCCGCACGGCCCCGCCTTCGAAAAGGATTGGCCCAGGAACCAGGAGCCCCACCGCTGAGCCCAAAGGTGGCCCTTCTTTGAGCGTCTTGGCGGTCGAGCAGTGCTGCGCGGGAGTGGCCCCGTGGGCGGGATGTCGGCGCTCTGGGCGGGCCTCGGCCTGCCGATCGCCGCGGGAGAGGCGCGCCAGTCCCGGACGACCTGCAAGACACTGTGTGTGAGTATCGTTTAACCGATCCCCATTCCCAGCGGCGTGGCCTGGGCCCCTCTGGTCGATTTACCCACCTAGATGGGGATATAGGTCGCTCCCTTCGGGTTTCGAGGGGTGTATCCCGAACTGGGGTGGTAATTTGGTGGGGTCTCGAAGGGAATGGGGATGAGGATGGGGATTGGTTAAACGATACCCAGTGTGTGCACTGGACCGCGGCGCTTCCGGCCTCCATCTCGGCGGGGGGCCCTGCCGACCCCCAACGCTTGGAGCGAACAGGCTTCTCGATCCCGGCGCTCGGGCCCCGGGAAGCGGCGCCCCCCCAGGGGAAGCGGTCGGGAGCGCGGGGGCCGCGGACTGCACAGCATCGCGTCGTCGGAAGTCGGGAGCATCGGCCCGCACGCCTGAGCCTGCCCCCGCCCCCCCCGCGCGCCCTCTGAAATCCGCGCGCCGACCGTCACTCTGGCGAAGGGCCCCTCTGCGTGCAGGGCGCCTTCTTTTTCAACCGGCAAAACAGCGGAAGCTGCCAACAGCAGCCCAAACAACTGGGCCGAACTGATGACCGACTCTTGAGATCCCGAGCCCTGATTGGCGGCCAGCCGCTCGCCCCGGGGGGAAGCGAGAAGGAGAAGGCCTCCTCGAAGGCTCGGAAGTCCCCAGGCCTTTTGAGACGATTTCTGAGCCTTCCCCGAAGACGCAGAAAACTTCTCAGAAGGCGCGAGGGCTTCTGCGAAGTCCCGCCGCCTTCTGAGAAGGCCTTCTCCTTCTCGCTTCCCCCCCCCCCTCGCTCGCCGCCGACCTGAAGCATGTCGGTTTTCCTCTGCTGGCAAGAGGGACGCGGGTCCTGCACGAGGAGAGGGGAGCTGGAGCCTCTTCGCCGCCCTTCGGCCCCCGGAGCCCTCCGCGGGCCTCATGGCTTGAGCGTGGCGTCATGGGAGGGTCATGACTGGGGGGTCAGAAACGGTCACCTTTCGTGCTCCTTTCGGGCCCCTCCGGAGCCACAGGGAGCTCGTTTGGGTACCACTCGGGTGCCTTTTCGGACCACCCTCGCCAGCCCCCCATTTATGACCCCCCCCATTGTGCCACGCCCAAATGGGACTGCAGAGGCGCGGCCCGGGGGGATGCCGAGCTGCCCCAGGCTCTGGTGCGCGCCTCTCCGTGAACCCCTCCCTTCCCTTCCTGCCGAGCTTCACTTTCGCCGCCTGCCGCCGAGAGCACCGCCGCTGGGCCCGCCGCCATCCGCGGCTTCCGCCATTCTGTCTCCCGCCCACAGCGAGGCTCTTGCTGAGGCGCCCGAGACATGATCCTGCCGCAGGTTCGTAGCTGCCCCGATACGCAACACGCAACACGCAGCGTATTGATACGGAGCTCAACACGCAGAAGCGATGCGTTCGCCAAAAAACGTGGGCCAATACGTTGAGCCAACGCGCAGCAGATTGGCACGGACGTTTTTAGCACGGTGCTTGCTGCGTCACAAAAGTTGTCCCCAACTGCTCGCCCCATCTCGACGACACTCGACGCCCCTGGGGCCCTTTTTTTTTCTCTGGATCTTGCGTCGTTGATGTCTGACCTCTTCGGTTGTCCGTGGCTCTCTGCGACACCCAGCTCACCCCCACGAGGGGCCCAGCCCGTAGACTAGGCGCAGGGAGGCCACCCGGTCAGCGCGGCCCGCCCAAGCCAGCTGCCCCTGGGGCCCTCTGGGCCTGTTCTGCGGGGGCTCCTGGAGGCCGGTGGCCCTGGGGCAATGCCACCTCCTCGCCACCGCTCGGACGTCCACTCCCCTGGCACTTCTTCGGCTTCGCGCGTGCATTGTTTCGCCACAGGTCCAGGCGATGCCGAGCCTCTGGCAGCGCCGGGACGAGGGGGAAGGGCAGGGCAGGGGCGCTGCCCCTTGCCCGGCCGCCTCCGCCTCCGCCGCCGCCTCGTCTCCGCCCCCCGCCTGTCTACGCGTACCCGTCGGTCGGAAAAAGAAGTGGGTAGAACCATGAAATAGGAAGGCATCGGAAGTAGATCGGGCTTCCGCCCGCCCCCTGATGACGTAGGAAAAGGGGCTCGCTCGTTCCCCAAAGTAAAAAGGCGTCGAGAGTGGATCGGAATCTGGGAATCCAAAAATACCTACTTTCAGCGACCGGCGTATATTGAGCAGGGACCGACCATCCCAGCATTCCCATAAGCTTACCGAACATTCCTTGGTGGGCCTTTAGGCAAGCCTGGGCGCTTCGCCATTTCTTGAGTATTCGGTGGCAACTCATGGGAGCCTCCCATACCAGCTTGTCGGCTCTTGCGAATCGACGCTGATCGACGCTGAATCGACGCTAAATCGACGCTAACCGACGCTAAAGCGGCGCTATCTCATCTACTCCCAGATGCTACATACTCGAGGCCACTCGACGCTAAAGCCGGAACTCAGAGGGTATAGCAGGCTTCGATGATTTGCTACCGAACGAATCTTTGCATGTCCTGTCATCCTCCACCCCGCAAGGCCTCTGGAGGAACCCGCGAGGCCCCAAGAGAGAGGGCCGAGGGCCCTGCAGAAGCGCCGATCCCCGAGCCATCGATCCTCAAGCCCCTGTCCTGAAACTTCCTCCGACGTCTACATCCTTGTGCTAGAGGCCTCCGGGATGGGGTCCAGGTAGATGGGGTCGGAGGATCGAGCCGCATCGCGCATGTATCACCGATACATCGCCGATGCATCGCCGATGCATCAGCGATGCGGCGCGATCCTCCGACCCCATCAACTCGGACCCCATCTAGGAGGCCTAGACCATCATTCTCGGGGGAACGTAAGGCTCGAGCTCGGGGGACTCAAACTCGCCCGACGGGGTCGCCAGAAAAATGGCCGAACCGAGTCTGCGATTCGGGGCGAGCTCCTGCTACAGGTATCTTACGAGCACTTGGCCGTCAGAACACATGCTGGGATCGCAGGAGGCAGCTGCAAGCCTGAGCTCCAGCTGACTCGAGCCTCTCGTTTTCCCGATCAGCTTGCAAGCCCCCACGGCCAGGCCCTTTCACAGTGGCGTAGATGTCGTACATGTGGTCCTGTCCGCGCGCGGCGCGCGCGCGAGCCGAACATCCAAAGCCCCTCGGGTGCTCCGAGCTCCAGGAGGGATCCAGCCACGGCGAGGCTAGCGAGGAACGACCAGGACGAGGACGACGACGACGACGAGGGGAGGAAGGACAAGGACGACGAGGGCGAGGGCGAGGGCGAGGGCGAGAGCGGCGACGAGGACGGAAACTCCTCGAGAACCCGGGGCTGGGACCATCAAGAAGCAGCGGTCGCGACGAGCACAAAAAGGGGTGCCAGAGAAATGGGTCGATGCCCGAAGGACCTCACGAGACACGCCGCCAGACCGAGATTCCTGAAGACCGTGGTGGCGGACCGCGTGGTGACACATCCTAAAACCTTGGCATGGGGTAAACAGACCCTGACGGAAATTGGTTGTGGGCCCTGCTGTCTTCCCCCAATACGAATTTGTCATCCCGAACCGTTTTCTGGCAGTCCCAGGGCCCATAAAGGAACCCGACAGCCCGAAATATGTGAAAAACTTCAAAACCCTTTTGTCCTCAAGACCCGCTGCCCCCATGGCGAAAACCGCGAAGTGACCCCGAATCCACACTGACTCACCGCGCGGGGTGGTCACCACACCGCGTGGGGGCCCGCGAGAGATGCCTCCGAATCGGGCGGGTGGTACGGGGGGGGGCCTAGATGGGGGGCGAATGCAAAGAGAAGGCCCCCAAAGTGGCCCTTCACGGGCCCCTACTTGCTGCAAAAGAGGCCCCGACGGGCACATTTAGGGCCCCTTTTTCCCCCCCCACTTCGGTCACCCCCCAGCACCACCCGCCCGAACAGCCCGGGCAGTGGCCGCAGCGGGGGCCCCGGTGAGGGCACCTGGAAACCCGCGGCGAAGGCCCCTGGAGCCCGAGGACTGACGAGAACCGTCCGTCAAGACGTGTTTCGTGCCAAGGGGGGGGGAACAGAAGCAATATCAGTGGCGCGCCACCGTGCGGAAACCATCAGCGCTTCACTGCTGAGGAAGCACCAGGCCCTCGCTTTGACACGAGGGCGCAGCACGCCGACGGGCTCGCAACGGCTGCGCGCGTCATCGATACAATCATCGTGCCACGTACCATCGGAACATCTGAATGAGGAGCGACGGGGCTTGTCTGGCCACGGCGAGCCTCGGCCACGAACGAATAGGTTCCCTGATCCAGATCTAGGAAACAGCTCGAGCACCTGACCACTCTTGGGCCTAATTAAGGCGGTCCTTCTCGGATCTGGGGGATATCATTGCCCCAGCTCCGATATCGATCCCCCCCCGAGCCGTCATCCCCTCTTCGTCGACCCCGAACAACGACAGCAAGTCGGGGGACTCCTGAGACTCGCTCAGATTACACCCCGTGCGCACATATATATATATATATACACACACATCTATATGTATATATGTACAACAAAACTGGCACAAGGATGGAAACCGAAAAAACCTTGAATCCGACAAGACGGGGCCCGTCGCATCAAGTGGCATCCGCCTGTCAATGCTACGGAATACCCACATCGTCTGAATTCCGCGTTGCATGTTAGCCATCCGGCCGGCGGGGACGAAACCGCAAGCAGAACGTGGAACGCCCGCACCAGCGGCCCTGCGAATGATAAACTTGGAAGGGCGCGCGGGCAGTAAGTGGCGTCCGCCTCCAAACGTTGCCAGTGGGCGCGCAAGCCAAAGTGTGGCATATCAATGACCTGGCCCATGGTGCACGCCTGCGCGCGCAGCCAACATCGAAAGGCGAATATCACTTAATGATCCTCTTTGGCCGTTGCCGCTTGCAGATCATTCACGGTGATCGTCTTGTTGATGTTGTTTTAACTTTTTCCGGCTGTGTATTCCCGGGCCGCGCCGAGTGTCAGAGGCACCGCAAAAGCCGACACAATCCCGGCGGAAAACGTTCGCCAATGTTCGGCCTCGCAGGGCCATCACAGACCCGAGTGTCCGTCAACAAACACATCGGGATGAACACTCTGTCCCAGGTAACATGCTCAGACCTCCATGGGTCACGCTGCGAAGAAGTCACGGCGTCGGAGGTCTGGAAATGTGGGGAGTGGCATGACCTTGAGGCGAACACGTTCTGAGAGGGTGCGGAGGAGTATCTTTGCGACGACCTGCGAGTGCCTCGCGACGACCTGCGTGCCAGGGTAACCTGGCCTTGAACAAATCCTAGCCACGACAACCTGGCCTGAGATAACGACCCCATGCCACCCGCCACTCAGGTCAAGAACACTGGAACCCAGCTCGACCACCGTGCGGGGCACACGGTGCAACTACACATTGGGCCCAGGACCACCCCCCCAAGCCCGCAGGTCAGGAGGCACGTATCCATAAGCCCCCCCCACGCCTACCCTGTGGGTCGGGGTGACCCGGGTGCTGAAGGTGCAGAGGAGGGGGGGGGGAGGGGGAGGAGGAGTGGAAAGGGGGAGGAGGGAGGAGGGGGAGGAGGAGTGGGAGGGGGAGGAGGGAAGAGGGGGAGGAGGGGGAGGGGGAGGAGGGGGGAGGAGGGAGGAGGGGGAGGGGGAGGAGGGGGGATGAGGGGGAGAAGCAGCGGGGCGAGGACAGGACGACGAGCGGGCACGGGGGAGAGGGGCGAAGGGGCGGGGAGCGACGAGGGAGGGGCTGGGCGGGGGGAGGAAGGGACTGCACAGGAGAGGGGCAGGGAGGCTCGAGGAGAGGGGGGGGGAGGGGGGAGGGGAGGCGAGAGGAGGCAGGACGCGGGGGAGAGGGAGGGTGGAGGGTGGGACGAAGGGGGAGGGAAGAGGACCCGAGGAGGAGGGATGGAGGAGAGCAGTGCCAGCATCGCTACACCCTGCGCCCACCCCCATCCCCACCTGGGCAAACCTTGGGGACAGCTACCCTCTCCGTCGGGCGTCGCGACACGCCTGTGCCCACCTTGGGGGGGGGGGCGCTGCCCCGACCCAAGAGGGCGGGGATAGAGTGAGCGATGCTGACAAGTTTTCGAGTAGGGGATCGTCTGCAGAATTGACTTACCCCAGCATGGATTGTTCCTGTCGAGTCTTCTAGAAATGCGTGGGACGCTCCGAGATCTACAGAGCATTCTGCGCACTTCTCGTATATCCGACGGGAAATCCATCTCGGGGTAAATCAATTCTGTAGTTGATTCCCTAGACGAAATATCGGGGAGACGTGAAACTCGGGTTCGGAGGACTCGGGTTGGCCGGACGGGGCCGTTTGACAAGACCCAGTCTGAAATTTGACGCAAACTCCCGCTACAAACATCCCACGGCAACTGGACCGTCAAAAGCCGAAACGGGCTCGTCAAAAAGCGCTGGCAAGCCAGAGATCTGGCAAACTCGATTCTTACGATCCCCCGGAAGTAATGTCGACCGTGGTCCTCCACGTCCTCCTCGTCGAAGTCGCGAACCACGAGCGAGACGTAGACCTCCGCCGGCGATCCAGAGAGACTACCCCAGAGCTGGACCCCAGGGCCAGCAATCCGTGGCAACGGCTCGTCCAGGTTGGGGATGCAGGGGAGGCTACCCCGCCTCTTTCTCCTCATCCTGTGTCTCCTCCTCCTCCTCCTCCTCCTCCTCCTCCTCCTCCTATTCCTTCTCCCTCCTCCTGCCTTTCCCCGCTCCGCCTTGTCCTCCTTCACCTCCTCCTCTCCCCATCCTCCCCTTTGAGCCTGTTTTTCGTTCTTTCCGCGATAACGGCCGTCACCAGTCCCGCCCCCCCCCCGCCCCCAGGTGACGTCACGTTTCGCGCCGGCGGCGTCCAGGAATGGTAGCAGCAGCATTTAGGTGCTGGCGATCTGCACTACAACTCCTGTGTGCTCGCGTGCACCACATCGCGCGTGTACACCACAACGCCTGCGTACACCGCAACAGCCGTGTGCAACGCAGCGCCTGTGTACACACATTACTTGCGTGCATCACAGCGCCTCTGTACACCACAGCGAATGCGTACACCGCAGCAGCCGTCTGCAACACACCGCCTGTGTACACCACAGTGCTTGCGCGCACCGCAGCGCTTGTGCACACCAAAGCGCCTGTGTACACCACAGCATCCGCGTGCAACACAGCGCTGGTGTACACCACAGCGCCTGCGTGCACAGGACAGGTAGAAGGAACATGTATGTTAGGATCTGCTGCGGACAGAAAAACACAACGCAAGGGAGGTGTTGAGAATACAATGCGATATTCTTTCCTCCTCCCTCCTCCTCCTGCTCCTCCTCCTCCTGCTCGTCCTCCTGCTCCTCCTGCTCCTCCTCCTCTCCCTCCTCCCTCACCCTTCCCCCGTCGTGCGGGTCGGCGCTACAGCACACGTGCGCATCTCAGTGCGGCCTGAAAAAATGGTGGATTGAATCAGTCCACTTGGTTCTCGGACGGCCAGCCCTGCGGAAGCCTTCTGGACACTCGTGGGAGGAGCTAGGATGATGCGGGAGGACTCGGGAGGACTCGGAGATTCCAGAAGCGATCATTTGTCCATAAGGATTTCTTTTCAAATCCTATCTGGAAAATGAATAATTTGTCCTGTGGAATCCACAGGCGACCCATTTTGTCAGAAGCATTCCGATTAACATTATATATCCAACTCGGGTCTTCTGTTGCACACGGTTGCTGTGATGCACACAGGCGTTGTGATGTACACAGGCGCTGAAGTGCACGCGGGCACTGTCGTGTACACTGGTGCTGTGTTGCACGCGGCTGCAGTGGTGTACGCAGGCGCTGTGGTTACACAGGCGCTGTGGTGCACGCAGGCGCTGCACACTGGCGCTGTGTTGTACACAGGCGCTGTGGTGCACGCAGGTACTGTGGTTCACACAGGCGCTGTGGTACAGATCGCCGCTTACATGCTGCTCTTGCCCGTCTTCGGTAATTCCCAAGCACTCCCAGACGCCGCCAGCGCTAAATTTAACGGCACCGGCCCCCTCCCCCCCCGTGACGGCCGCTATCGCCCCGGAATCTAAAAAAAAGTCGGTTCCGTACAGATGGCTTCTCCCTGCCACACCCCCAGACGTGTCGGTAAAGCGGGCAGGACACCATTCCACACACCCCCTGAGATTTCTTCACCGATCACTACCTGGAAGTATCCAACATTCGCAACAGCTGCACGGGGGAGCACAGGTGGTTCCCAAAATGGATGTCTCGCCTCAGCATCGTGCACATCCGTCTCAAACAACCTTGCAATAAGTACAAAGATCCAGAGCAGGGCGAGTTGAGATAACGACAGCTCCACAATTGAGTTCTGGACCCTTCTTAGGGTCCAAACGTATCAGTGTTCCAGGCTGCGTCCAGCCATAGCGACGAGCGAGCCCCACGAAGGCCAACTGCCGTTGTGTCAACTCGCCCCCCCTCTGAAAGATGGAGCGGAGGGTCAGGCACAAGGCCGTGCACGGCGACAGTAAAATCGAAAACCAACCGAACCGACAGCGAGACCGAGACCGCAAGCAGCCTAGAAAGGCGCAACGACGCGGCAACGACAAGATAACCGCCCGCACAGAACCAACCGAATCACCGAACCGCGAACACTCTTGCGAAACGAGGAGGAGAGAGGAGGGAGGAGGAGAGGCGGGAGGAGGAGGAAGAGGAGGGAAGATGATGATGATGATGATGAGGAGGAGGAGGAGGAGGAGGAGGAGGAGGAGAAGAAGGAGAAGAGAGGAGGAGGTGGAGCGTGGCCGCGTGGCCGAAAGGCGAGTACCATGAATGGCGACCCCTTTGCAAGGCCCACCACGCACGCTGATCTTGACCGCGAAGTGCAGGGAAACGCAGGAGGAGGCGAGGAAGAGGAACGCGCCGAAGATGACAAGGGAGACATTGACGAAGAAAGCTGCGAGTCCCAGCGTCGTCGCGAAGTGCAGGGGAACGCAGGAGGAGACGAGGAGGAGGAACGCGGCGAAGATGACAAGGGAGACATTGACGAAGAAAGCTGCGAGTCCCAGCGTCGTGGGTCAACCCGTGCAGCACGGTCAATCTACATCAGGCTCTGGCGGCACGCCACCAGGCCATGCTTCCTCCTTCCCATAATCCCGACGCCGGACGTCCGAATGGGGGGGTAAGTCTCGAAGATGCGGCCCGCATCCTGCCGCGCTTGCTCCGTGATCTCCATCGATCAGGCGGCCCTCGGGGTGCAGGTACACGCAAGCCGGGCGGTGGCATCTGAGACCACAGCGACAGATCGTCAAGGGCACCCAACCTCGCGCTTCGCGCCGCGCGAAGCGCGAAGTGCGAATGGCTTCGCGCTCTCGCGCCGCCTCCCAGGGAAGAAGAGGACGATGAGGAATCGAAGCCGAACCGCGAAGCGCGAATAACTTCGCGCCCTCGAGGGCGCCCTCGGATCGTCGCTTCGGGAGGCGATCGAGCGGGCGAAGCAGGGTCGCCCGACCTCTCGCTCGGAGCCGGAAGCCCGCCACGGAGAGCCAGGGCCGCCCCTCGGGGACCGTAGTGCTGGCTCGTCAGCGACCAAATCGGCCAGGAGAGAGGAGGAGGAGGAGGAGGACGCGGGAGGTGGAGGAGGAGGAGGAGGGAGGGAGGGAGGAGGAGGGTGAAGAATGAGGTGGTCTGTACCGTTGTCCTCCTCCGCTATGCTGCTAGGCGCTGCGGCGCCCCTGGGCCTTGCGAGGAGCGGCGGGGGGAGAGCCCGGGTCGCGATGAAACGTCAGCGCGTGCTACCCGCAGGCCCTTTGTGGACTCGGCTCCGAGTGGGAGACAAAATCGATGCACCCCTAACTTGTTTTTTCGTCGAATCTCCGACACATGCGTAGAATGTTAGTTCATACACGAGCTTTCTTTGTTTCCGCAGAAGCGGCGACAAACCAATTTTGGGGTAAATCACCTCTGTCGTCGATTTCCTGCTCGACGGTTCTCTTATCGCAAACAGTCGTCGAACTCCACAGGCATTAGTGGGACTTGGAAACAGCAAGGCGACTTTTTACCAACTCGATGTCTCCATTGCTTGTGTCAATATGTTGTCCAGTTTCGGCGTCATATGTCTTCCAGTTCCTGTTCCGACTCTGGCGCAGTATGTTCTGCAGTGTTCATCGTCAAGAGCCCACTTGTTTGTTGTTGTTGTTGTTGTTGTGAAAATGGGCTACAGCAAAGGCCCTGCCGTTTCTAAAGGCCCAACGTGTTTAAGAAATCAAGCCGAAATTTGTTTTGAAGTCTTGGCCGTCATGGGCCCTCGCCAGGCCCAGTGACCGTACGAAAACGACTCGGAATGACAACACGGCCTCGAGCAAGGGTCGGGACTTCTGGGGGGCCCGCGCAGAAAGTATCAAGGCATTGCACCTGTGAGTCTCGTTGTTTTACCAATTTCGTTTCACCCGGTGGGAGCTTGGCCCAGATCACAATGCTTGAAAGATCCGAGCCGTTCTCGAACCAGTTCCGAGCCGCTTGTGGATCCCTGGACTGCCCAGGCTGCTTCGGTGAGCCGTTCCGTTTCAGTGAACAGATTCGGGTGGCTTTCATGAGCATCGTTTATAGTGATGAGGCCATGGACCAAGTCCCAGATCCGCTGTAGGAGATGGATGATCATCTGCTGGTGGCATTCAAAGAGGTCAAATCCCCATCTTTTAACTGCATGTGCCGAGCTCGGTCGGTCTGTGATCGTACAGGCGCCTAGAACCGTGCGAAAACGCCCGCTGTTCGCCTCCCCGCCCTCCCCTCGCCCTCCCTCCTCTCCTCCCCCTGGCAATCAAAGCGCGCAGCAATGCACCCCTGAGCCCCCCGTTTTGGGAAGGCCTCCCGACCGTAAAGGTCCCGAGAGGGAGAGAGGCTTAGCTGCGGGGCTTGAGCCAATGATGCTCAAGATGGTGTATCACTTGTGACGAGGCCCACGTATGTTTCGCCTCGGGTCCGACCACAGCTTGGTGGCACGGTATGCGTCCAGCGGCTTACCAGCTGGCTCGTGCTTTCACGACATCTTTGTGCGCGTCTACGCCATGACGCCGTTTGACGGTTTTGTGCTCCGCAACCCGTCTGCGGACCTCCCGTCTTACATTGACGATGATACGGTCAGCTGCTACGGTAAGCAGCATGATGTACCTGAGTCCCTGGCAGTGGCGGCGGCAGACCTCCACGCGGTTCAAAGGAGCTGTGGGTAATCTCGAGCCTGATAAGCTGATGACGTTTGCGTCGGATCTGGGGACTGCTCGTCGCCTTGGAGAACGCCTCGGATTACTGGCGGGCCAAGTCGGCACGCATGTGACCTCTTTGGGATGTGACCTGGTCCCAGGGGGCCAACTATACCGCAAGGGGCACCTCGCTGAGAGGAGAAAGCGCTTCAAGGATATGATCAAGAGACATCGGGTCCTGGAACGGAACCAGAGGGCGTTACCAAGGGACCGAGTTCGAGCAGGAACGAGTTACACGGCGGGCGTCAAGCCTGCCCTCACGTTCGGGGGCACGATCGTCGGTATGACCGACGCGGAGCTTAAGCGTG